TATTTCAAAGTAATGACAGTAGTAAATACAGGTATGGAAAAAAAAAAAGTTAATACATCTAAGTGTGTTAATGTATGGAAAACAAGTAAAAAGCAGTACACAAATACTCAAAACTACAGAATATTTATTATAAATATTTAAAAGAAATTTCACGAATGTAGAAATGTGTGCTTCTTTAGATGTCACAATACGAGCCCTTATTATGAGAAACAGAGAAAATATATAGCAAGTGCAAAATGAAATACAAATATAACATGAGAACTACAAGCACAATATATGTAATATGAAAAAAAACCAACATCCAAAATTTTAGCAACATTATGGAAAACTGCAGTACATGATTTTCCATTCATTAGTATGAACATCATGTTTCTCTATATAATTCTGAACTAAATGATACTTTTAACACACTAAATTGATAGACTTATACACAAACAAAATATGGTGCTACTGACACTTTAATTACCTAACCTTTACACCAATTAGGATATTTAATTAGAAATAGGATCAACGTTTAAAATGCACAATAAGAATAATACTTGTCCTATGGCCAAAATTAAAAGACTTGACATGTTTCTGGTAGCTCTACATAACCATTATAAGGAGTAAAAATTTAAACAATATGACAAACAGGTAGTTTTATAGAGAAAAGATATAACTCATTGTAATCTATGAGTGTGATATGAGTATTATACATAAGAAATCAATATTTCTTTCCAAAACTGTGCATTATCATCAGCTAATCCTTCATCTCTATTTAACAAAGAAATATTTAATTTACAGCACAAAATTTATATTGATTCTTTAATATTCAATTCACTTTGAATTATCATTTCATGCCACTGTATTCAGCAAGAGAATAAATTAGCATATTTATACTATGTACATAACCTTTATGTTCATTAAGATGATATTTTAAATTACATCTAGTTTGTCCAATATATTTTTATTGCATTCATATCTAATTTGAGATATATATAACCTCTTTTATCTAAAATGTCTTATTTTTTTAACCTTAGTGCTATGAACTATCGTTTTAGCTATGTTAAGTAGTTTAAAAATAGGAATAAAATTATGTTTTCTGAATACATTGGCAAATTGGCTAGTTTTACCATGTATATATGGTAATAATACTGTACTATTAATTATATTATCATTAACTGAGTGGTCACAAGTAAACAGACACCTAATTTTTCATCATTTAACTGATTTATGCTAACTAATTTGTGTTCACAGAGCACTGTATTAATGAAAATGGTCTGCAAACTAATTATCTTGTGCTACAACATGCTTAGAACTCAAGGTTCTCTCGAATTGTCAGATTTTGTTAGAGGAAGGATAGTTGGTGAAGCAGATGGTGGAATAAGTCAGCGGCAAATTTCGCAGAATTTGGAAATCCCGCTTTCGACAGTCAACAGAATAATAGTGCAGTTCAGGAAACACGGCAAGGATATGGGTCTGGAGAATGCCTCACCAAGAGTTTTGGCTCAACAGATTGCAGCCAACTGTGAAGCATGATGGTTTCAGCGTGATGGTTTGGAGAGCTGTTTGGGTTGGTGGGAGATCG